TGCAAACAGAATAATATAGAATGTATTGTTTTGTATTGTCTTCTTTCAGCATAATGTTTTCCAGATTTGTCCATGGTGTTGTGTATATAAGTCTTTTGTTCTTTTATATTGTCAAGTAGTGTCCCATTGTATGGATATGTCACAGTATGATTATTCATTATCCTGTCTATAGACATTTGGATTATTGACAATTTGGATCTATTACAAATGAAACTGTCATGGGCATTTGGATACAAATCTTTTTGTTGACATATCCTTATTTCTCTTGGGAAATTGCCAGAAGTAGAATTGCTGAATCATACAATAAGTGTATGTTTAACTTTTTGAGAGACTCAAACTCTTTTTCAAAGGGAATTTACCCTCTTTCATTCCTACCAGTAATGTATGGGTTTCAGATGCTCCACATTTTTGTCAACATTTGCCATTGTTAGTATTTTTAAATTTAGCTGGGTGCAATGGCTCATGCCTGTAACCCCAGCACTTTGGGAGGCCAAGGCAGGCGCATGAATTGAGCCCAGGAGTTCAAGACCATCTGGACAACGTGGAGAGATTCTGTGTCTACAAAAAAATTAAAAATTGGCTGGGTGTGGGGATGCTCACCTGTGGTCTGAGCTATTCGGGAGGCTGAGAGGCAGGAGAAGCACTTGAGCCCAGGAGGTTGAGGCTGCAGTGAGTCATGTTTGCCCCACTGCACTCCAGCCTGGGTGACAGACTGAGATCTTCTCTAAAAGACAAACAAAACAAAATAACAACAACAACAAACTTAACCACTCTTTTAAGTATGTGGTGATTTTAATTTGAATTTCTTTGGTGACCAGTTTTATTGAGTATATTTTCATTTGCCATTTTATATCTGTTCACATCTTTTTATCACTTTTAAAGTGAGTTGTTTGTCTTTTTATTAAGTTGCTGAAAGTTCTTCATATATTCTGGATGTAAGTCTTTTGTGAAATATGTGTTTTACAAGTGTATTCTCCAAGAATGTAACTTGCTTTTTCACTTTATTTGTTTATTTATTTATTGAGAGAGAGTCTTGCTCTGTCGCCAAGGCTGGAGTGCAGTGACATGATCTCAGCTCACTGCAACCTCTGCCTCCTGGGTTCAAGCGATTCTGCTGCTTCAGCCTCCCCAGTAGCTCAGACTACAGGCGGCCGCCACCATGCCCAGCTAATTTTTGTAATTTTTGTAGAGATGGGGTTTCACCATATTGGCCAGGCTAGTCTTGAGCTCCTGACCTTGTGATCCACCTGCCTTGACCTCCCAAAGTGCTAAGATTACAGGCATGAGCCACCGCACCTGGCTGCTTTTTCATTTTATTAATGGCATCTTTTTAAGAGCAAAAGATCTTAATCCTGATGAAGTCTAATTTATTGAAAAAAAAAATTATGGGGCTAATGCTTTATGTGTCTGAGAAATATTCACCTACCCCAAAGTTGTGAAGACTTTCTTTGATGTTTTGTCCTAAAGGACTTACAGTTTCAGCTTTTACATTTAAGTCTATGATCCATTTCAAGTTGACTTTTCTGTGCAGTGTGAGGTCAAGATTGAGGTTCATTTTTTTCCATGTGATTATTTAGTTGTTCAACACTATTAAAAGAGTATCCTGTTCCCATTGACTTACCTGGCATCTTTGACCACATACATGTGGGTCTATTTCTGGACTCTATTCTGTTCTGTTGATCTATTTTCTACCCTGACAGCATACCATACTGCACTGATTATTGTAGCTTTGTAAGTCAAGAAATCATGTAGTCCTCAAGTTTGCTCTCCTTTAAAAAGAAAAAAAAGAAAAAAAAATTTTACTATTTCAGGACTTTACATTTTCACATAAGTTTTACAATTCACTAGTCAATTCCTACAAGAATGCCTGTTCAGATTTTGATTGGGATTGCACTGAACCTATAGATCATTTTAGGGAGAATTGACATCTTAATGACATTGAGTTTTCCAATCCATGAACATGGGATATCTCTCCATTTATTTAGGTCTTCTTTAATATTTTTAGAAATATTTTTTAGTGTTTAGGTCTTGCACATACTTTGTTAAGTTTATCCTAAAATGTTTCATGTTATTTCATGTGTTTATATTTAACTTTCAGTTTCCAAATGTTTATGGCCAGTATGTAAAAATACAATTGATTTTGATATGACTTGTATACTGTGACCCTGCAAATGCACAATGCTTTAGTAGCTTTTTTTGTGTGAATTCTTTAGGATTTTCTACATACATGATAATGACATCTGTGAATAAAAACCTTATATTCTGAGTCACTCACATTTGCACTTTTAGTTTTGTAATTAAAAAAAACACAGATTGAGGAATGAGTCATCTTTGAGGTGCTACATTTTGCTTGGTTCACATAAACTGCATTGCTTTATCAATCCACAGTCTTATAAAACTTAAATTGGATATCTGAGAGTTAATATGTCAAGTTTCTTAGGCACAACACAGCATATTGAATTGGAATTTGTTGTTTTCCTTTCTGTCTCTTCTAGCTGTCCTCTATCTCCATATATTAAACATCTTTATGTCTTCAGAGCCTAATAGTACCTCACACTTAAAAGCTGTTTAGTTAATAGCTATCAAATGAAGGAATGATATAATTAAGACCTGTTTAGGCTGGGCGTGGTGGCTCACACCTGTAATCTCAACACTTTGGGAAGCCAAGGCAAGAGGATCACTTGAGGTCAGGAATTTGAGACCAGCCTGACCAACATGGTAAAACCCTGTCTCTACTAAAAATACAAAATCTAGGTGGGCGTGACATGCATGCCTGTAATCCCAGCTACTCCAGAGGCTGAGGCAAGAGAATTGCTTGAACCTGGGAGGCGGAGGTTGCAGTGAGCTGAGATCATGCCACTGCACTCCAGCCTGGGTGACAGAGCGAGATTCTGTCTCAATAATAATAATAATAATAATAATCTGTTTAGAATGACTTCAGCTATAACCTAAAGAAGTTTATTTTCTTTGGGCCTCAACAATTTCATTCAAATTATATCATCTATTGATATGATCCCCTGACTAGTTTTTCTGTTATCCTTTAGATGAATATTCCTGAGTATCATTTTCTAATCCCTTTTAAAAACTTGTTTTAACTGTAATATAGTTATAACCCATTTAACAATTATTATACTCATTTAAAAATTGCATATTTTTTCCATTTGAAAGTAAATTTTGGTCCCCTTTTCTTCATCTTTCATCTGAATACTTCAGTTGGAAGATACTGGGCAGGCATTTACATGTCCTTGGTACTAGTAGCTTTTGACACAGTGTTGGTGTTGAACTGACAACACAAGATCTCTGCTTTCAATGCTGCCAGAGAGTTTAGAGGAGGCATGGGAACAGGGGGTTCTTCCAGCACTTGGCTTAATTTCATCTGGTTCATAGCCAGCTTTCTAAAATTAACTGTGGCTAAAGCTGAGAAGCCTTTTTAAAAGACCTTTAGTGGAATTATCCATTGAAGGCCACCAGATGGATCTATTCTTCTGTAAAAGAAGACAATTTCTGCCTGGCGCGGTGGCTCAAGCCTGTAATCCCAGCACTTTGGGAGGCTGAGACGGGCAGATCACAAGGTCAGGAGATCGAGACCATCCTGGCTAACCCGGTGAAACCCCGTCTCTACTAAAAAATACAAAAAACTAGCCGGGCGAGGTGGCGGGCGCCTGTAGTCCCAGCTACTCTGGAGGCTGAGGCAGGAGAATGGCGTGAACCCGGGAGGCGGAGCTTGCAGTGAGCTGAGATCCGGCCACTGCACTCCAGCCTGGGCGACAGAGCGAGACTCTGTCTCAAAAAAAAAAAAAAAGAAGACAATTTCTGCTGTGAGACAGCCATTCTACGTATAACCAATGTGTCTGGTTGTCTTGAGCGGGTGAAGTCCCAGTAATATCACTGTCTCAATACCCTAAACCCTCATTGCTTGCTACAGAAAGTCAAATTTCTTATTTAGGGTTCTCTTGCCCAAATGTTTCCAACAATCCACTGATCCTTATGTGTCCAAATAACAGACCTGATTGTCATTTGGTGCTGAGCTATCACTTCATATCCTCAAGCCAAAGAGGTTGGCCAAGATGGCTTTCCACCCTCTTAAGTATTGCAGTCACCTTCATGGTAAAGATGGAAGTGGGTGTGAAGTAAGAAAGAGAATGCCTTTTTTTGGTGGTACTTTCTCTTAGGGATAAAGGTGTCCCTTCAAATCAAGATAATTTGAGCCTTAACATGTCATAGCAATTACTGTGAGTGGATTTTGTTAGTTAGTTTTCATTAGTTATTAGTTTTCTCAGGTATTATCAGGCTGTGGGGAAGGGGCAGAAGATCTTAATTCATGACCAAAAAGCATAAAAAAAATACTACTAATGTTTAAATAAATTTCCCCAATTCTGTGTTTTTATAAGCATTGTTTTTAATGACTTCCTAGTACACTAGTGAAAGGTAATATTTCAATTTATTTAACTATTACCCAACCACTGGTCATATAGATTGTTTCTTAGTTATTGCTATTATATACTATGTTTCAATGAGTATCATTTAGATATTAAGCTTTGCCATATTTAAAATAGTTTCCCTGGTGTAGACTCCTAAAACTAGAATGTGTAGGTCCAATGGTATGTGAATATTTTTCTGCTTTTTGAGACACATCCTCTAATTGATAGAAAGCAGATCCATTCAGAAAAGAAAATAACTCTCCAGTTATCAGAATATAGGTATCATTGTCCTCTAATATTTAAGAACATGAAAAATGGGACTAAAAGGTCAGAAGGTTATTTTAGTGAGCAAAATAACAGACTAGAGGAAATATTTTTGGCCTATGGAGAGTTTAAATCAGGCTATGGTATGCAGACCAGACTGATCTTTTACTTCTAGACCTGTCACTAGTATACTCTGGGGGCCCAGGTTATTACTGAAAATAAACAGGACAGACTTCAAGACTTCCATTTTTCTGGGAAGATGGGTTTGTTGACCTTCCTGGGATAGATGATCCTTGGTCATGTGGTTTCTTCCAGCATCCACCAGCTGAGGAACAAAGTATCAGAGGAGCATGATGTTCTCAAGAAGAAAGAGATGGAGTCAGGGCCCAAAGCATCCCATGGCTATGGAGGTCGGTTTGGAGTAGAAAGAGACCGAATGGACAAGGTAATTTGAAAGGGAAAGATTTGCTTTGAAAATATACATTTAAAAAATTGATATATCTATTTATATATTTTGTAAATATTTATAAATAATTATATACTTATATATAATTATATACCTCTATAAGAGCCAATTATATATAAGTATATTATTATATAAGGTATATATTTATTAGTATATTGGTGATGATTATGATAGATATATAATAAATATAATAGGGTGATATCTATATTATAATCATAATGAAAGTATAATGAGTAATATACTATTTATGATATACCTTGATATGATGTAGTATAGTATAGTGAGTGCATAACTATATAATATTAATAGTATATGATGTAGTATATTACGTATTAGTATATGAATGACATTAAAAAGTATAATAGGTATACACAATATTATATATTAAGTAACTGGTAGGATGGTATTATTATATAATGTTGACATAAGAATATATGGATTATATATAATTATATATGATTAAGTATATAATATATCAATACTTTTAGTGTATAAATTTATCGTATATACTTATTAGTACTGTTATATATAAAGTATAGTAGTTATATATAAGGTATATATAGTATAGTAAGCTATATAAATTAATAGTATAAAATACAATGGTATATCATGTATATACTTAAAGTACTTATATATTATGCATATACTTTAGTAATATATATGTAATAGTTAACAGAATTAGTACGTAAGTGGGGCAACAATATGAGCTAGAGATTAATATTATATGTATATCTTAATATATTATAATTATATGATACAATATATTTATATTATAGTTTATTCATAAATATATAGTATATAATATTTAAGTATATATAAAATATTTCACTAGAACACCCAGATACTTTTGTTCTAGATCAAAATATATATTTTTTGACTCATTTATTGGTTCATGAGTTAAAACTCATTCAAAAGTACAGTGTTCATTTGGTCTCTAATATTATTGAGACCAATATTATTGATACAAATATCATATTATTTGTATCAAATTTTTCTTATCTCAACACATAAGATATACGTGGCAGAAAATAAGAGCCTATATATTAGAACTGCTGGCCTGTTGTAGCCCTAACCACACTGTAACTCCTAGACCAAGAAGACAGGGAGCGTAAGTGGAGAAGGAAAAAATATGTTTTAAAATCATTTGCTGCTTTTAAATGTTTATGTATTATATCTATGTTACAACTTCTCTTTACTATTTTCTTTACTGTGTATTTAGTGATTTTTTATATATGTGTCCTACATTACATGTTGCATAAAGCTCAGAGTTCACTTCTGAACTTTGATGGCCATACAGGAGCAAAGATCTAGAACAAAATCACTGGCTCTCCTAGTGAAAATTCCATCCCGGCTATGGCGTCCGATCAGTCCCCTTGGTCTCTCCTCCACACTACCCCACACTACACTGTGTTCTGCTGCACAATGCTCTTGTTTCAGCTCTTTTTGTTTCTGATTTAAACACTGCTCTGTATATCCAGTCTCTATCCCCTGGTTCCCAGCCCATCCTATGGGAGTGTTCAGAATGAAGGATTACTAATGGTATTAAAGAAGAACAGGAATGAGCAGGTCTCCAGAAAAAATCACCTTGCTCTCCCATCGCATATTCCTTGGCACCACTGTCAGAGGCCATAGATCTGACCCAGAATGGAATTTCTTACATGCCTACATCCCACTCCATCTCTGTATTTATTTTTTTAAGGTCATTTTTATCATTTCACTCACTCCATCCTTGATTCTTCTCAGAGTGCAGTGGGCCATGAGTATGTTGCCGAGGTGGAGAAGCACTCTTCTCAGACGGATGCTGCCAAAGGCTTTGGGGGCAAGTACGGAGTTGAGAGGGACAGGGCAGACAAGGTAAGTGATCACTCTCTCTCCCGACCACCCACCTCCAGTCATGTGAAAGTTGCCCACACTCACCTCTGGATGGAGGCACATGCTTCTTTGTTGGAAGACAGGGCAGTGGATGCTGTGAGGACCTGACACCATCACAGGGATACCTCCCTCAGCAAGTTCCTTGGTGCCAATGTTGGAAGCCACATGTTGAGCTCAGCGATTCAAATAAGGAGAAGCCTCTCAAACTGTCTGTTTGAATGAAGAATTCCTCAAGCCACTGGTTTGACAGAACAGAGAATCGTCTAAGCTCTTCTTTGGCTTAACATCAAAACCATATAAATACTCATGCCTTTTAGGAAAACAGAGTTGTCAGTTTAAATATTACTACCGGCCGGGCGCGGTGGCTCAAGCCTGTAATCCCAGCACTTTGGGAGGCCGAGACGGGCGGATCATGAGGTCAGGAGATCGAGACCATCCTGGCTAACACGGCGAAACCCCGTCTCTACTAAAAACACAAAAAATTAGATGGGCGTGGTGGCGGCGCCTGTAGTCCCAGCTACTTGGGAGGCTGAGGCAGGAGAATGGCGGGAACCCGGGAGGCGGAGCTTGCAGTGAGCTGAGATCCGGCCACTGCACTCCAGCCTGGGCGACAGAGCGAGACTCCGCCTCAAAAAAAATAAATAAATAAATAAAAATAAAAAAATAATAATAAATATTACTACCATGGCAGCAGATAATCAAGTTAAACAACTAATTAGGGTTACTGTTTACAGGATTTAGCATCAATCTAGAAAGTCCAGATGTTTTTAAAGACTCCTTTGTACAAAACAAAACAAAATGTTGTTTTAAAGAGAAAAAAAAGTATCATATGATTACAGCATCATATTGTTGACAGGAGAGTAAGATTGATAACTCATTGATGCTTTTAGTTCCACACCTTATTAGATCAAATTCTTTGAGCTCATTTTTTATGGTGCAGAATGGTATCTCCTGCCCTGCAGCTGCACACAGAGAGAGGACATCTTCTTCATAGCTAGCTGAGATTTTTTCTTTGTTTTTACCAACAGTTGTTAATTAGGTGGGCATGAATCCTTAAAGCTAAGTTCTAGAACATTAATTGTTTGCATCATGGGGGGGAAATCCATGAAAAACAAAATCAGGAAAGTTTAAAACATACTGCAAAGCTAAGGGAAGATGTAGAAGGCAATAGTGAAATATGGAGCATGCAATGTTCTAGAATCAGGATGGAATTCCCTGTTCCATCTTGGCCCCCCCTCCTTGCCTGCCTTTGCTTAATCTCCGATTCTGACATCTTTTGCTCACAAGCCACAAATGGAATCACCCAGTCAGTGTGTCATGTAAATCAAGAAACAACACATGTTAATTAGTTCTTAAGATGCAAAACCCCAGACTTGCTCAGATACCCATAGTTCCTGAGCCAGATGGAGAACAAAACTCTGCGGTAATGTTGAGTATCTGGGCAACATGTCCAGTCCCGGAGCTGGCTAGGATCCAGACTCTCCTGGTTGCAGTTATCCCACCAAAATCCACATGTTGTGTTTCCATTATTGAGTAATGAAAGAGAAGAGGTACAGCATTATCAACTGGGAATAGGGTAATATCTCTTCATGAACAGAGTGATTTATACTTTACAAGGCGCTTTTCTAGGTATTACATTTCACTTTTGTGAGGATTCGTTAGAAAGAAAAGCACTAAGTTAGCGAATGAACCTAAGTAGACACTTTACCTTGTCCCATTTAGTTCTCGTGATATCCCAAATGAAGAGGGATCATTTCTCTCATTTTACAGTCGAGGTAGATAAGACAGACATGCCTCTCCTGATTTTATATTAAAAGAGACTGGGGCTTAGTGATATAAAGGAACATGCCTAAACTTCAACAACTATAAATAGGGGATGTAGGGTTTGAACCTAGAACCGTCTGTGTCCAGGGCCAATGTTCATCGCTCTGTAGTCTCTTGTGTCCATACCAGCCTGTTTCTACATTAAACACCCATACTCAGCCTGAAGCCCCTACAAACTACCTCTGGGACTGGCTGGGAGTAAGGGGAGGTCAGGAAGGGGAAAACCTGTCAGCTCTGATTCTAACCAATTCTCTCTCCTCTTCTCTGTAGTCAGCAGTCGGCTTTGATTATAAAGGAGAAGTGGAGAAGCACACATCTCAGAAAGGCAAGGACACTGGACTTCACTCAGCCTCGGCAATCTGACTGGCAGGCTCTTCTGCTAAGACTTTATCTTCCAACAGTTGTCATCAGTTCTTTAACTTCCATGACCCAGCTCACCACTATTTTATTTACTTTTTGTTCATTTGTTTGTTTTTGAGACAGAGTCTTGCACTGTCACCCAGGCGGGAGTGCAGTGGCACAATCACAGGTCACTGCAACTTTGACTTCCTGGGCTCAAGCGATCCTCCCACCTCAGCGTTCTGAGTAGCTGTGACTACAGGTGTGCACCACCATGCCTGGCTAATTTTTTATTCTTTGTAGAGATGGAGTCTCACTATGTTGCCCAGGCAGTCTCAAACATTTTGGCTCAAGTGATTCTCCCCTCTCGCCCTCTCAAAGTGCTGGAATTGTAGGCATGAGCCACCGCACCCAGCGCTATTTTATATATTTTTGTTTTGTTTTGCTTTTTTGTTTTTTTGAGAGGAAGTCTTGCTCTGTCACCCAGGCTAGAGTGCAGTGGCGCGATCTCGGCTCACTGCAAGCTCTGCGTCCCGGGTTCACGCCATTCTCCTGCCTCAGCCTCCCGAGTAGCTGGGACTACAGGTGACTGCCACCACTCCTGGCTAATTTTTTTTGTATTTTTAGTAGAGATGGGGTTTCACCGTGTTAGCCAGGATGGTCTCTATGTCCTGACCTTGTGATCCTCTGCCTCGGCCTCCCAAAGTGCTGGGATTACAGGTGTGAGCCACCATACCCAGCCCTATTTTATATGCTTTTTAAACCCAGTGTGTACTTGCTTCTCTTTTTCTCCATGATTGCTTTCTATAATATTGATCAAGTTTTTGAATCCCTCTTTTTTCTCTAATGGATCGAAAATAAGGTTTTCTATTCCTTTGTTTTAGAAGGTTATTGCCAAATTTTAGCATGCATCTTTGACTTAAATTTAAAATTAATCACAATCTCTTCCTGAGTATATGTGAAACATAGAACATTTTAACTACATTCTTTTTAACCAACCATATTGTTGTTGTTCAGTATATTGGTTCCATCTCATTCCATCTTATTATTGGTCCCATCTTATAAACCCCACAAAAATGAATCATTATTACCTAGTAAATGCTTATTTAAATTGACCAAGGTATTTACCTGTTTCCTAACTCAACAATGCTTATTGTATTTCTTTGTTTCACCTTTGCGTCTTCTATTTCCTAACTCATCATTGCTTATTGTATTTCTTTTTCTTTTTTTTTTTGTTTTTTTTTTTTTGTTGTTGTTTTTTATTTTTTTTTTTGAGGCAGAGTCTCGCGCTTCTGTCGCCCATGGCTGTGAGTGGCCTAGATGCCCATCCTCGGCTCACTGCAAAGCTGCGCCTCGCCCCCCGGTTTCCCGCCATTCTCTGCCTCCAGCCTCCCAAGTAGCTGGGACGGACAAGGCCGCGCCGCCACCCCACGCCCGGCCCCTTAATTTGTGGTATTTTAGTAGAGACGGTTTGCATTGTGTTAGCCAGGATGTCTGCGATCTCACTGACCTCATGGATCCGCCCCGTCTCGGCCTCCCAAAGTGCTGGGATTACAGGCTTGAGCCACCGCGCCCGGCCTGTATTTCTTTGTTTCACCTTTGTGTCTTCTGTTCCCTTCTTGCTAAAATATATCCATTGATAATTCTTTTAATGAGTCTGTGAAAGAGCTTTCAGTCTTTGAAAAAGTCTTTATTTTGCATCATTCTTCATTTTTATTTTCCCTTCATCACTTTGAAGATCTTATTTTATTGTTTCTGACATCTCTGTTGTGTCAGACTATCATTCCTGAGTAGGTAACATGTCTTATATCTCTGGGTTTTTTTAATTAAAGATTTTCTTTTGGTCTCTGATATTCTGCACTATTATTAGGGTGTGTCTAGATGTTAGATCTACTTTTATTATCCTATATGGGACTTACTGCTCTTTTCCAACCTCAGATGTGACTTTCATTATAGAAAGTTCTCAGGCATTTTCTCTTTGAATAATACCTCTTCTCTCTTCTCTTTATGTCCCTGAGCCGCATTCTGGGTTATTCCTTTAGATCTAGGTTAAGTTCACTAATTCTCTCTTTAGCTGTATTTTATTATTGTTTAAACTGTCCATTACATTTTAAACTTTCTTTCAAATATCTTCCCTCCCCTCCCCTTCCCTTCCCTCCCCTTCCCTTCCCTCCCCTTCCCTTCCCTCTCTTTTTTTTAGATAAAGTCTCACTATGTTGCCCAGGCTGGCCTCAAACTCCTGGGCTGAAGTGATCCTCCCATCTTGGCCTCCCAAAGTGCTGGGATTACAGGCATGAGCCACCACATCAGATATTTTCATTTCTGGAGTTTCTTTCAGTTCTATTGCATATCTGCTGATTCATTTTCCATAAGACATTATAGTTTCATTATGGTTCCCTGTACCACTTCTTTAAGCTCTTTAATTTTTTTAAACATGTACTTTATAGTTTCTTTCATATTTTATATTATTTGCAGTTCTTGGCTGTGTGAGTTCTTCTGACTAATCTGCTGTTCCTCATGGTTATTTATTTCCTTGATGGTTCGTAATCTTTGTTTATAAACTTATTTGAGTGAAGGAGAGGGATATTTGTTTTATGAAAATTTCATGTGCCCTGGGTTTAGTAAGTACCTCATCCAGGGAAATATTGCCTCTACTTCTGGCTCAACTTCAGAGGTCTTAATAGTAATGGACTTTTTTTTCCTTTATTATTATTTTTTCCCATGGAGTTCAAGTCTTTCTGTTTTTTAAGTTGGTTATGGTATGTTGTGCTTTTCAAGGACTTTGTTCATTTTGTCTGTGTTGTCAGATTTATTGGCATAAATTCATTTACAATAGTCTCTTCTTTTTAACTTCTGTAAGATTTCTAGTGATATGAAATGAGTATTTTCATTTCTGATCTTATTTATTTGTGTTTTTTCTCTTTTTAATTGTTCTTACTAGAATTTCATCAATTTTATTATTCTTTCCAAAGAACAAGCTTTTGGCTTTGCTAATTTTCTCTATTGTTTACCTGTTTTAAAAAATGTACTGGTTTCTGCTCGTATCTGTATTATGTTTTTCTTCTACTTAGTGTTGATTTAGTTTGTTCTTTTTCTAGCCTCTTAAGGTAGAAACTTAGATAATTGATTTTAAGCCTTCCTTTACTATATGGGCACTTAAAAAACTATACATTTCCCTCTAAACACTACATTCACTACAACCATTTGCTACATTCAACAAATACTATATGTATTGTAATTTTCATTCATCACAAACCTGTAGTCCCAGCTATTCAGGGGGCTAATGTGGGAGGATCGCTTGAGCCCAGGAGGTTGAGGCTGCAGCGAGCCATGATTGTGCCACTACACTTCAGCCTGGGTAACAGTGTGAGACCCTGTCTCAAAAACAAAAACAAAAGCAAAAACAAAAAAATTCAGTTAAAAATATTTTCTTATTTCTCTTGTAATTTCTTCTTTGACACATGTATTATTTAAAAGTTGTTACTAATTTTCTAAGTATCAGGGAAATTTTCTAGATGATTTTATTGGTATTGACTTTTACTTTAATTCTATTGTGATCAGAATATGATATCTAATATTTCAGTCTTTTGAAATGTACTGAGACTTACTGTCTTAGAGACTTATGGACCGGCACATGGTCTATTTGGTCAATGTTCTGTTCTATATGCATGAAAAAAAGTATATTCTGTATTTTGGGGTATAGTGTTGTATAAGAGTCAATTAGGTCTTATTAATTGATAATGTCTGTATCTTCTATAATTTTACTGATTCCTTTTTGCCTAAAGTATCTATCAATTAATGGAAGAGTGGTGTTAAAAATTTCAACTACTATTACAGGTTTGTCTGTTTCTCTTTCTACTTCTGTCAGCGTTTGCATTATTTGTGTGTGTGTGTGTGTGTGTGTGTGTGTGTGTGTGTCGGAGTCTTGCTATGTTTCTCAGGCTGGTCTCAAACTCCTGAGCTCAAGCCATCCTCCTGCCTCAGCCTTCTGAGAGGCTAGGACTACAGGCATTCACCACACCTGGCTTTTTACATTTTTCTTTTATTTGAGAGCTTCATGAATTTTGGTTCTGTGAATAGGTTTATACCAGCATACATATTCCCGATGAAAGGTATTGTTCTTTTATCATTGTAGCATGTCTCTCTTGTCTCTTAGAATGCATTTTGTCTTGAGATAACTTTGTCTCATATTCATGCCATCTTTCTTATGCTTACTCTTTCAACAATATATATTTTCCTGGATCAGTATTTAGTTAATTTCTCAGCTTAGAATTCCTGCATCACGTAAGTAGTAAAAAAAAAAAAAAAAAAATTGTGTATTTGCATTCTACACTCAGATGTAGGCTTAGAGTTTCCATGTCTTAAGAAGCAAATTTTCCCCTTATCAAATGTTGAACAGGCTACAAGCCCCCCTCATGATTTTCCTGGGTAAATGAGTAGAATTTTTCTAGCACTCTCTTACAGGAGTGGACAGAGCTTCGTTTCTGGCTTTCTTCCCTCTTCCCCCATTCTTATATGGAAATTAGAATCGCAGAGCCTCGATCCTAATCCCTGTTCATTACATTTGGAATTTAAAATCTGACAGGTGTGGTAGTTCACACACGGAATCACAGCACTTTGGGAGGCTGAGGGGGGTGGGTCCTTTGAGCCCAGGAGTTTAAGGCTAGACTGGGCAACATAGTGAGATCCCATCACTACAGACTTTTTTTAAATTAGCGAGGCATGGTGACATGTGCCTGTTGTCCCAGGGACTCAGGAGGATTGCTTGACCCCAGGAGTTCAAGGTTACAGTGAGCCATGATTGTACCCTGCACTCTAGCCTGGGCAAAAGAGCAAGAGCCTGCCTCTAAAATCAAAAAAAAAAATCCCCCCAAAATGCCCTTGGGTTTTCTGTGGTGTCAGTTCATAATTACCCTCACACATACAGCTTTGATTCATCTCTTTGTTTCTGGTTTCTGGAGCCAGAATTTTTTCCTTCCTTTCTTCTGAGCTTCACTTTTTATTTTTATTTTTTTGAGATGGAGTCTCGCTCTGTCACCTAGGCTGGAGTGCAATGGTGCAATCTCGGTTCACTGCAACCTCCACCTCCTGGGTTCAAGTGATTCCCTCCTGCCTCAGCCTCCCGAGTAGCTGGGACTACAGGCACACATCACCATGCCTGGATAATTTTTGTATTTTTTAGTAGAGACAGGGTTTCCCCATTTTGGCCAGGCTGGTCTCAAACTTCTGACCTCAGGTGATCCGCCTGCCTTGGCCCCTAAAGTGCTGGGATTACAGGCATGAGCACCATGCCCAGCCTGAGCTTCACTCTTTAAAACAAAAGTGTTATGTTTTATCTGACATTTCTCTGTGCTTATATGGGAGTAGGGGAAAGGCATACATTTCATGTATCTGCCTTTTTTTTCCTGCAATCTCCTCACTCTCTATACTTGCCCCTTCTTGAAGAAGAAGGGAGAAAATGGGAATGTTCTTCTCATCTTGGCATGGAAATGAGAGAAGAGAGGGAAAAAGTAAGCAATATTCAATTCAAAGACTACTTAAGTCACGGTTTCTCTTTAATTCCCCTATATTCAAGCCTTGCTCTTTCCCCAGGCCCCTAACACTCTGCACGCATTCCTGCTGACCTCTCTTCTCCAGCGCTTCCCTGTGTGCTAGAGCCTAAGGGTGGGCTCTCATGACTGCTCCTTTGACTGCAGATTACTCTCGTGGCTTTGGTGGCCGGTATGGGGTGGAGAAGGATAAACGGGACAAAGCAGCTCTGGGATATGACTACAAGGGAGAGACGGAGAAACACGAGTCCCAGCGAGGTGAGTTGGGGTTTGAAGGGGGAAAGTCACAGATAGCACAGGGCTCTCCTTCCTTCCTTTCTGGAAGCTCACCCAGGGGCCCCAGAATACAGAGGGGGCAGATGTGCAGAGCAGGGGGTGCACAGGCAGTAAGCACATGTAGGGGATGGATGGTGGTAGTGAGGGAAGAGAGGAGAGGTGGAGAGGAAAACAGCAGGATTAAGAGCAGGGCCTAGGAGGGAGGTGAGAGAGAAGGGAGCATTGAGGAAGGAATGAGGACAGACAGGCTAGGTGATGGTCAGAGGATGGTTTGCCATGAGTCTTACAGGGCTCTCTGCTGTCCTCACAGAGGATAAAGAGGTTTACTGCTTCCCTGGAACCCATAGGGATGACTGGAGTGCCCTCTGTATTTTTTTCCTATTTCTTTTACATTTTTCCTTATCTGTTGCTTTCCGCTTTCCATGTTTCCCTATTTCCATCATTCTCTTCTCCATTCTCTCCCAGATTTTTCCCCATCTGTTTCCTTCTCTTCCCATCCATGCCTACCTCTATCCTCTGATTCTCACATTTCCTCCTATGTCTGTTTTCCACATTCCTATTTTTCTTCCCACTGATTCTTCTTACTACCCATTCCCGGCATTTTGATCTCCTATAACTCAGAACTTTCTGTCCTGCAGATTATGCCAAGGGCTTTGGTGGCCAGTATGGAATCCAGAAGGACCGAGTGGATAAGGTAAAGCACCAGAACACCAATGTCTTAAGAAGTTCTCTAAGTTTAGGAAAGTGAGCAGAGAAGAGTGTGAAGAAGGCTGGGAGAGGGAGGGGATGGTGGTGCTGGGCACACAGAGCCTGTCCTGCTGCTGTCCTGCACTCCCCACTGACTGCCCTCAGCGTCTAAGGGCTATGTCTTTCAAAGCCTGAGCTTTGACTGAGGACAGTGGGAGAGGCATACAGAGACACAGATAAACCACAGGGAAAGGTGGCGTTGGACTGGAAATTGTATTGATTTCTTCGTATTGCTTAACCCAATCTTAAGTCTCTTCCCACCCCATGCCACGGTCCTCCCTATAGTAGTTCCTCCTCATGCATTGGCCACGGGCCCTGCTACATTTTAGGCAACTGGGCTTGGAGACGTGAGATTCTAAGGTCACTGAGCTTTCGAAAGGGGGAGCTGAACCCAACAGTTAAGAACTTCTTTACCCCCTCTCTACCACAAAACAACATTGGAACATGCTGTCCAGCTGTTGAGCATCCAATGGTTAGGGATACCTCCTATAGTGGTCCCAAACCCCCAATACCACCTCCAGGTCACCAATACCCCTGCCTCTCTCCCGCAACACACGTGCTGTTCTCCTGCCTGCAGAGCGCTGTCGGCTTCAATGAAATGGAGGCCCCAACCACAGCTTATAAGAAGACGACGCCCATAGAAGCCGGTGAGGCTTAGTGATTCACTCTCCATGCACCTCACTTCCTTCTCCCTCATTCTTTTTCTTCCCCAGCCTATATCCTCCATGCCTTTAACTACCTAGATTAGCTGAGGTAGACCTGATCCCTATGCTCATATTCCCAGATTCTGTCTCTCCTAGAAAAATTAGGTAAGGTGGGGCTCACGCCTGTAATCCCAGCACTTCGGGAGGCTAAGATGGGAGGATTGCTTGAGCTCAGGAGTTTAAGAATAGCTTGGACCACCTGGGGAAGCCCCATCTTTATAAAAAATACAAAAATTAGCCAGGCATGGTGGTGCATGCCTGTAATCCCAGCTACTTGGGAGGCTGAGGCAGGAGAATTGCTTGAACCTAGGAGGTGGAAATTAGAGTGAGCTGAGATCATGCCACTGAACTCCAACCTGGGTGACAGAGCGAGACTCTATAAAAAGAAAGAAAGAAGGAAAGAAAGAAAGAGAGAGACAGACGAAGGAAGGAAGGAAGGAGGGAGGGAGGGAGGGAGGGAGGGAAAGAAAGAAAGAAAGAAAGAAGGAAAGAAAGAAAGAAAAAGAAAGAAAGAAAGAAAGAAAGAAGAGAAAGAAAGAAAAGAAAGAAAGAGAGAGAGAGAGAGAGAGAAAGAACCAAGTCAAGTGGATAGAAAGAGTGACGTCGGGGAAGGAACTGGAGGCAGAGAACAAAATGTGGCGTGGAGCGGGGGTGGGGTGGCATGGGAACATTGGTGGGGAACCACTTGGGAAGGACACATAGGGATAGGAGCTTCGGATGGGGTTGAGGATGAGTGGTGGCTTGAAGAAGACATACAGATTTATGGAATATGAACAGGGGAGGATGCTGGTTGGAAGCCCAAAGTTTACAATTTAGAAAGGACACAGGTGGGCTGGGCATGGTGGCTTACACCTGCAATCCCAGCACTTTGGGAGGCTGAAGTAGGAGAATCACTTGAACCCAGGAGTTCAAGATGAGGCTGGGCAACACAGCAAGATCCCCTCTCTACAAAAAATACAAAAATGAGCTGGGTGTGGGGGTGCACACCTGTGGTCCCAACTACTCCAGAGGCTGAGGTAGGAGGATTGCTTGAGCCTGGGAGGCTGAGGCTGCAGTATGCCATGACTGCACCACTGCACTCCAGCCTGGGCTGAGACCCTGTCTCAAAACAAGACAAAACAAAACAAAAAGACACGAGGTCACATAGCCTGGCTTTATAAAAATCCAGGCTTCCCCGGGCGCAGTGGCTCAAACCTGTAATCCCGGCACTTTGGGAGGCCGAGGCGGGTGGCTCATCTGAGGTCTAACGTTGGAGGCCAGCCTGGCCAACATGGAGAAACCCCGTCTCTACTAAAAATACAAAATTAGCCGGCGTGGTGGCGCATGCCTGTAATCCCAGCTACTCAGGAAGGCTGAGGCAGGAGAATCGCCTGATTTCTGGGAGGCGGAAATTGCAGTGAGCCGAGATCGCTCCATTGCACTCCAGCCTGTGCAACAAAAGTGAAACGCCATCTCAAAAAAAAAAAAAAAAAAAAAATCCAGGCTTCAGGGCTATGCCATCCTCCTATAATCCCCTTGTTCCTCTGTCAATACCTCTTTACCTTCCTGTCCCACAAATCCCACCTCCTGGATATTTAACTGATTCCCCTTCTTCCTTCAAGTGCCATGCCCTTCCTCACCCTCCAATCCAAGACAACCCTAATTCTTCTTGCCTGTGTCTGCAGCTTCTAGTGGTGCTCGTGGGCTGAAGGCGAAATTTGAGTCCATGGCTGAGGAGAAGAGGAAGCGAGAGGAAGAGGAGAAGGCACAGCAGGTGGCCAGGAGGCAACAGGAGCGAAAGGCTGTGACAAAGATGAGCCCTGAGGCTCCACAGCCAGTGATAGCTATGGAAGAGCCCACAGTACCGGCCCCACTGCCCAAGAAAATCTCCTCAGAGGTGAGTGCCTGGCCCGCTGGGATCCACATCCGGGATCTCTTGCCCAGACAGGAGCCTAAGGGGTCCAAACCATTGGCAGAAAATAAGGCAAAGGCCTTCCCTGGGTTAGGCAGGGTCTGTTGTCTCTGTCTTTAGAAGACTTCAGTCTGACTGTAATTGGACCTCCTATCAGAATGTCAGAAAAAACCCTCAAGATTTACATAGTACAACAGAAAGCAAGTCACCAGCCAGCACAGCCAATTATTGCTGTAGGAACTATGAGGAAGGGGCCGTCACTTCAGGTTGGAGCTCATCTTGAGGGATGAGTTCCATTTGAATTGGCAGAGAGCAGGAGAGGGTGTTCCTGGTAAATGTAGCAGTGAAGACATGCATGGTGTGGTGGCTTATGCGTGTAATCCTAGCACTTGGGGAGGCCAAGTTAAGAGGACCACCTGAAGCCAGGAGTTCTAGACCAACCTGGGCAACATAGTAAGACCCTGTCTCTATAAAAAAAATTTTTTTAATTAGCTGGGCATTGTGGTGCGTGCCTATAGTCCCAGCTACTTGGGAGACTTGGAGAGGAGGATCGTTTGAGCCCAGGAGTTTGAGGCTACAGTAAGCTATGATCTCACCACTATGCTCCAGCCAGGGCAGCAGAGTGAGACCCTGTCTCAAAAAATATATAAAATAAAAAAAAAAGAATGAAGATGGGCCAAGCGTGGTGGCTCACGCCTGTAATTCCAGCACTTTGGGAGGCCAAGGTGGCCGGATCACGAGGTCAGGAGATCAGGAGTTCAAGACCAGCCTGACCAACATAGTGAAACCCTGTCTCTACTAAAAATACAAAAATTAACCAGGCATGGTGGCCCGTGCCTGTACTCCCAGCTACTTAGGAGGCTGAGGCAGGAAAATCGCCTGAACCCAGGATGCGGAGGTTGCAATGAGCTATCGCGCCACTGCACTCCAGCCTGGGCTACAGAGCGAGAGTCTGTCTCAAAACAAAACAAAAAAAAGAGTGAAGATGGAGGCTTGCTTACTTGAGAGATGCTTCATTCTCCACAGGCCTGGCCTCCAGCTGGGACTCCTCCATCATCAGAGCCTGAGCCTGTGAGAACCAGCAGGGAACACCCAGTGCCATTGCTGCCCGTTAGGCAGACTCTCCTGGAGGTAAGCAAACCTTCAAAGATTCTCTGCCGGCCGGGCGCGGTGGCTCACACCTGTAATCCTAGCACTTTGGGAGGCTGAGACGGGCAGATCACGAGGTCAGGAGATCGAGACCATCCTTGCTAGCACGGTGAAACCCCATCTCTACTAAAAAATACAAAAAACTAGCCAGGCGTGGTGGCGGGCACCTGTAGTCCCAGCTACACAGGAGGCTGAGACGGGAGAATGGCATGAACCCGGGAGTGGAGCTTGCAGTAAGCCGAGATCGCGCCACTGCACTCCAGCCTGGGCGACAGAGCGAGACTCTATCTCAAAAAAAAGAAAAAAAAAAAAGATTCTCTGCCCTCACCCCATCTCCTCCAGTCTTAGGAAGGTGGGCTGTGCAGGGTGGCCAACCATCCTTGTTTTCCTTGCACTGTTCTGGTGTCAGCACTGAAGACCCTACCCTGCCTTCTGGGAAACTCCTCAGTCCTGGGCAAATTAGGACAGCTGGTTATCCTAGCTGTGGTAGCTCAACAATGTGCTTTTGCTTCAATGTTTTCTTGGCCTCCCAAAGAATCTGACTCGCTTTCTACTTCCCTCCCCTCACACCTTTTACATTCTCTTCCCATTGTCTCTGGAATGTGTTTTGGGTGGGTGGGTGTGGGAGGAGGTTGAGGAATGAAGATGGATGAAAGGCTATGTTCCCCAGGACAGTCTGTTAGATGGAGGCAAGGGTGGAGGGGAGAAGAGGCAGGGTGGTGAAGGGCAGGGGTCTTACTCCTTCACTGAGTCCTCCTGGAGAGTGGAAGTCACACTGCTCCACACTGTCTCTTCTCAGGACAACGAGGAGCCCCCAGCTCTGCCCCCTAGGACTCTGGAAGGCCTCCAGGTGGAAGAAGAGCCAGTATATGAAGCAGAGCCTGAGCCCGAGCCCGAGAATGACTATGAGGATGTGGAGGAGATGGACAGGCATGAGCAGGAGGATGAACCAGAGGGGGACTATGAGGAGGTGCTCGAGCCTGAAGGTTCTTCTTTTTCTTCTGCTCTGGCTGGTGAGTGATGGGAGAAGAAGCAGGAGAATTTGGTCATGTCCAGGGGAGGGTAAGAGGAAGAAGAATTTCTCCATTGCCCCAGTAGGATCTTTCTCTGTTTGCCTTCTTCATGTTGATGAGACCATGTTTGTGTTTCTCATTATGCAGGATCATCAGGCTGCCCGGTTGGAGCTGGGACTCTGGGGATCTCAGCTGTGGCCCTATATGATTACCAAGGAGGTAGGTTGGGAGTGGCCTGAGGAGCCTGGTACCTGCAGGCCCCTGATATAAGACAAGGGGACGTGGGAGAAGAGACATTCATGTCTGACCATTCTAATATCCCCTCAACTTTCTCCTCAGAGGGAAGTGATGAGCTTTCCTTTGATCCGGACGACATAATCACTGACATTGAGATGGTGGACGAGGGCTGGTGGCGGGGACGTTGCCATGGCCACTTTGGACTCTTCCCTGCAAATTATGTCAAGCTTCTGGAGTGACTGGAGCTCACTGTCCACTGCAACTGTGATTTCCCATGTCCAAAGTGGCTCTGCCTCCACCCCCTCCCTATTCCTTTTGCAGATGTCTAACCAGATGAGATTCTGGACAGACTTCCCTCTCCCGCTTCATTAAGGGCTTGGGGCAGAGATAACATGGGGAAGGAGGTCCCCTTCCCCAAGAGTCCTCTCTACCCTGGATGAGCTCGTGGACATTTCTCTTGTGGTCTTGCCTCCTTCCCCATGAACACCTCTCTACCACCCCAAGCTCTGCTCTAGTCCTCTATGAGCTCTGGGCTTCCTGGTTTGTTTACCCGGAAAAGTACGTCTAGATTGTGTGGTTTGCCTGGTTGTGCTATTTGCCCACTTTCCTTCCCTGAAGAAATATCTCTGAACCTTCTTTCTGTTCAGTCCTAACATTCGAAATAAAGTGAGACTATGGTTCACCTGTATGCTGAGGTAAATAATACTTTTTGTGTGGCCCTCATGGCCCCAAATCTTAAGGCTCCAACCTTTCCTCTTGCAGACATATCCAGGAGACTTTCTCTCACCACTGCCAATTCTCCTGCACCCTAGATGTCAAAGGCTAGGCCTTTTCCTTAGGTTGAACTTTTTTTCTTTTTTTGAGAAGGAGTCTTGCTCTGTTACCCAGGCTGGGGTGCCGCAGCATGATCTAAGCTTACTGCAACCTCCACTTCCCGGGTTCAAGAGATTCTCCTGCCTCAGCCTCCCAAGTAGCTGTGACTGCAGGTGTGTGCCACCACGCCCAGCTAATTTTTGAATTTTTAATAGAGATGGGATTTCCCCATGTTGGCCAGGCTGGTCTCGAACTCCTGACCTCAGGTGATCGTCCCCCCCTTAGCCTCCAAAGTGCTGGAATTACAGGCATAAACCACTGCACCTGGCCTCCTTAGGCATTTTAAACCCAGTCCAAAACAGATCAGCCTGAGCAATGGCTGGGCATGGTGGTGTGGGCCTATAGTCCCAGTACTCAGTAGTCTGAGGTGGGAGAATCACCTGAGCCTGGGAAGTCAAAGTCAAGGTTTCAGTGAGCTGTGATCGCACCACTGTACTCCAGCTTGGGTGACAGAGTGAGACCTTGTCTCAAAAAAAAAAAAAAAAGAAAGAAAGAAAAAGAAAAGATGGAGAAGGCATTGGAATCAAGGAGGAGCTAGAATGAGTTGCTAAGACCCATAGTTAGTTGCTCCAGGGCTTCATAGAGTTGGTGAGCTGCCCAGCAGGGTGTCCAAGGGAGAGAATTCAGTCATGGGTTCATAGTTTCTGTTTCTGGTTGGGCCAGTAAAGCCCCTTTCTCATTCCTCTTTTCCGCTTATCACTAGAGATAGAAACTAAAAACCATGGCTTCAGGCTGCTAAAAACATAAAACAAACAAAACAGAACAACAACACAATAAGGCAGGTTGGACAAGCTTGGCTTGTGCTCTGGTCTTTGTTCGTGATACACACTTGGTTTCAGCGACAACTTCTATGCCTGTGAATCACACATCTGTCTCTAGACTTAACTCATAAGATTCACCCAATTAGCCTTTCAGAGTGCAAAGCAGCTTTTATTTCCTCTTCTAGAGACATTGAGATTTCTAGTATACAGAGGTCAGTCACCACAGATATACTCAGTCTCATTCTTCACTTCAGTTTGATTTGATATCACACATAAATCAGATTTGTATAGTGATTTTCGTGACACATCTTCAAGTTCCACCTTGCTTTTCACTTTTTCCTTTGTTGTGAGACAGAAACTTCTTTTCCAGACCCTTATGCTACTAAGGCAGCAAGGTCCTCTCTGGCCCAGTTCTACAGACCCATCCTCCATGTTCAGCTGATCTCTACTCTGGACTTGCCTTTCTTGGTGATGATACTCACCAAGGGCTCTGCCCGTAGATATGTCCCCTCCCTGTGTACACAGTCCCTCTTTGCTTCCCTCAGCTGTTTCTAAATCTGAAGCCACATCTAGCTGTCTTGCCTCTGTCAGATAACACTTGCCATTCATGCCGTTCACTCCAGCTTCCTCTCACAAATCATTTCTGTCTAATCCATAGTCGCTCTGAAAGGCTTTGGTGCCACTGCCCTCTCACTATGAAGTGTGCTTGTCTTATTGAAGCTCGCGCTTCAACACGGCTCTGAAGGCAGCAACTGGAGGGGAAGAGTGCAGTTTGAAGTGTACAACCCACAAGCAGTTGTGGGCAGTGCCACTCTCTTGAGGCTGCCCCCACCCACCCAGTTTGGGAAGGGAAAGCCCTCTGCCCTCTTCCTTTCTCCAAGTAGCACCTTTCTCCTCCATTCTCTATGTAGCACCTTTCTCCTCCATTCTCTATGTAGCACCTTTCTCCTCCATTCTCTATGTAGCACCTTTCTCCTCTATCCGTCCATAGCCCCTGAATTTCATCTCCATGGTCTGTAGTTTCCCTTTCTATTTCTATTAAAATCACAAACCCAGAGTGGAATTTAGGAGCTTTTTTCCTCCATGTAGGAAGGACTAGATTCAAAACATGTGGAACTACCACCTGGACAACTCTCTTCCTTTCTTCCCACTGTAGTGTTAGCTTCTTTCCAGTTACTCATCTTCACAGAATAAAACCTTAGGTCACACCCTAGTCATATTTTTAGAAAATGGTGCCTTATATACAAATATGAAATATAAACCAAAGGATGGAATCAGGAAAAATAGAATGACATTACCAAATAGTACCAAGTGGCACATGACAATGAAAAGATGAGCGTATTTCTGGTCTGGGGCTTGCTCTACTGCCTTCTCCACTCTTTTCAGAGGTTTCACCTACTTCATCTACACCAGCTCTGAACCATGTTTAGAGAGAACCCAGGCAATAACAAGCACCCAGATTGACTAGACTCTTTCTTTTGTTGGCTAAATTTTTTATCATCTGCTTCTGTACAATCCCTGTCCTTTTCTTTTCCTATTTCCCACTTGCTTGAGGACTGCTAGGACTGCTGGGAAAATGATACCAATTACAGTGAGAGGAATATAAACACAAGGCTAATAACTCAACACTTCTGGCTTCAGGTATAACCAAAGAGAGCTGAAAGGATACATTCCTGCATGTGGCTGAAGGACATGAAGGCATACCAAACAAATCATTTCCATCCGGTTCCCAACTTAAAATCACCACGTGTCTAAAACCTATTTCATAAATAAAGAGCTGTATTAAATCATAACTATTGTGGATGACTATGTGAGATAAGATTTTGCTGCACCAAAAAATAAGCATATCCTAACTTATTGTCACTAGTATGACATCCTTTAGGGATTTTCAACCGGGAGCCATTTTGCTCCCCGACCTTTAGCAATGTCTGGTGACATTTTTGGTTGTTGCCAATGTGGGGGTGCTACTGGCATTTAATGGATAGGCCAAGGATGCTACCAAGTATCTTGTAGCACACAGAACAGTCCCTTGCAACAAATAATTATCCAATTCAGACTGGGCACAGTGGCTCACACCTATAATCCCAGCACTTTGGGAGGCCAAGGCGGGCAGGTCACCTGAGGTCGGGAGTTCAAGACCAGCCTGACCAACATGGAGAAACCCCGTCTCTACTAAAAATACAAAATTAGCCAGGCGTGTAATCCCAGCTACTCAGGAGGCTGAGGCAGGAGAATCGCTTGAACCCAGGAGGTGGAGGTTGCAGTGAGCCGAGATCATTGTCATTGCGCTCCAACCTGGGCAACAAGAGTGAAACTCCATCCCCTCCCCACCCCAAAAAAAAAAAAAAAAATCCATTTAAAAATGTCAATATTCCAAGTCTCTTAAGAAGCCCTGCTTTAGGGGATGCTAGTTTCTACTGTGTCTTTTTTTCTTTTACTTTTGTTCTTATGAATATTCACTGTTTGTTACCAAAAATAGCAGTATTATCCATTTTTGTCAGACTGAATGCATGACCAGCAATATGGATGGGTAGGAGCAATTTCAGGGAGCCATTAGGTTCACATGTCTTCCTCTCCAAGACCCCAATGGGGTACCCAAGTGGTGTCTACGAGCTGGTGACTGGTGCCATAGGAACTGCAGTGGGCCTTGTCTGGACTTTGCCAAAGGTGTGGTCTCCCTGGGCTACCCTGTGCATTCTGGCATGATGCTGAGGTTGGCATTAGTGTATTGAGGTCATTTCAGATAGCACAGGGTGGCCCAGGGCCATGCCTATGTTCTGCCTAACTCAGAATATAATTTTCTGAGGAAAAAACATCTTGACCCTTAAGTTATTAAAATGTTACAAAGTAGGCTTGTGGCTTTTTGTCCTAATGTTCTCCATAAATACGGTGTCTCCTTTGGACTCCCCATTTCTCAAGGCTTTCCTGCTGTATGTTGCCAAGATTCTAACAACAGACTCTGTGACCCCATTTCTGCCCCTCATGTTTTGGCCTGTGGTATCTTCAAGGCTGCCATGCTCAGTCAGGGGCTCTCCTATGTCAGGCTGTGTTAGAACTACCCTGGCCTAGAGGCAGTAGAATGGCCAAAACGAGCCCTGGACTTGACCATCAAAACAGACCCAGCTCCAGAGCCTCCAGCTTTGTTCCCTTCACCCTGCATTCCCTGGGGAGTAACTCTTTGTACCTTAGTCCCATTCTGCATTTCCTGTCCCATAAATTTGAAAGTGCTCTGTAAACTAAAAAGCCCATAAAAGCACAGGCCTGTACTGATTATGGAATTTCATGCTCTCTCATCGCTTAAGAAATTGGGTCCATCTTCCAAATGGCCTCAAATTACTTATTTTCTTCTCAGACCAATCTATTTTAGAAAGAAAGAAAAAAGAAAAGAAAAGAAAAAAGGAAATAAGTCACTAATATGTCACTATGGTACAAGACATGGCTTAGGAAATTCTTTGACCTTGTGTTGAGGTTTTGAAGGACATTGCATGTTCCAATACACCCTGATAAGCAAATAGGCAGTTTACAGAAAGGAATCCTCAAAACCATACTCTGTCCTACTTCAGGAACTCCGAGAAGAAATCCAAGAAGGGTGCATCGGGTGGCATCTGCATTTTTAGGAGACGTATCTTCCTCGTGGTCTGACTCTAAAGGTGGAGACTAAGCTCTCTCGGGCCTGCTCACGGGGCTGACACATGCTGGTCAAAAGAATCGGGTCAGTTTTGTGCTCTACGATGTTGAAAGGACAGGACTTCAGGTGCTCGGACATGGAGGTGACTTCATTAAACTCCCAGCTCTTGATTTTGGAGAAGAGGCTGCTGAACTGCCAGATCTGTTGAAAAAGATAGAAGTTCAAAGGTGAATATAGGGGTGTTACCCTCTGGCTGGCTTTATTTGGGCACTATAAGGAAATATCCTTCTGTTCTTCATATTCTTAGACTCCAGAGTGTTTAGTGGCTCCTGAAGACGTTTGGTAGCCCCTTCTCCAGCATCCAACTCCTAATTCCCCCTGCCAACCAATAATCTTCCCAACCAGCCCTGTAGTTATGAGAATCAC